CCCGGCTCCGGCACCCTCCGGGAGGCCGCGACGAGGGCAGCCCGGCTCCCAGCCGGGGCCTCCTCCGCTGAAGCCGCGAGGGGAGGGAACATTATTTTTCCCTTGGAATTTCTGAGGAATTCGTTATAAATATTCGGGCGAAGGTAGAGCCCCCAAAGGTGTGCTGGAGACTGAGGCGGAGCGGCACTTGGCTCGGAGCTGCCTCTCGTAAAACGCAGCCAGCATATAGATGGGCATTGATTCGGGACACTGCGCTAGTAAAGCCCCCGCGCTGCCTGGAGGTGCGCCGGGCTCTGGTGGGGCGGGAGGCTGCGCTGACTCTGCGCGACCCTCTGCGTCCTCCGGACGGTGCGATGTGAGAGGCTCCGCCGGCAGCGGCCGCCTTCCCCGTCCCGATCCCTGTCCACCCGCCTGGCACAACGGGCGGCCGCGTGTCTGCACACACACGGGCACAGCGGTGCTACGTGAGACGCTCCGTAAAGGCTGCGAAGGAAAACAGCGTTCGAAGCCGGTATTTCTCCTTTCCGACCCGGAACAAGCTCGAGAATGCGAGTGTTCCTGTAGGTGGCACTGGTACGAGGTGTTGTGGAAGCGAAGGAGAGATGGAGAAAATTGCCCAGGAATTCCCAATTGGTTTCTATAATTTGATGCAGAACAATAGAGGCATTTTTTTCATTTACTCAAAATTCATGTAACATGTGACAAATGAAAACCCGATTGCTCGATTAGAACAAAATATGCTTTTAAAATCTGTCCCTCCGTAGCTTTATGGCCTGGTACACGAGAATTGTCTGTTTCCCTCTATGTCATTAAACAAATCCTAGCGCAAAGAGAAATTAACTCTGCACCGCTCCTTCGAGTCAAATGTTAGCACCAGGAAAGCCCTAATGAGACACTGTCTGGTTTCCAGAGGGGCTGCTAAGAACAAGTGGCGGCAAAGTTATTAAACCTGCCCCAGTTACACACACATCATTAAGGCCCCCCCTCGGCCCCCCCAGCGTCTCTCCCAACACCCGAGCACAGAGCGGGAGCAGGGCGATGGCCGGGACGGGGCCGGGGGGACGCACCCCTGACCGAGAGGGATCTGCCGGCTGGAGGAAGGGTCGGGCAGCCCCGGATAGGGGCAGCGGAAAGGCCACCGACTCGTCGCCGGGTCGGCACCACTGCGGTTTGGTTTTTTTTTCACCTGTCCCTGTGCCCTCGGTGTGTTGCGGCCCGCACCGCCTTCACCGAGGGGAACCTGCCACGGACTGAGGCGGGACCGTGTCCGTCGGTCGGAGGCTACCTGTGCCGTCTGTCCCCCCGTGCTGCCGGGAGAGAGCCCCTCGGCCGTTCCCTACGCGGTGACGCGGGGCTCCCCCGCTCCCTCCCTCCCCGAAGGGGTTTCGCAGGGGGCTGTGTCCCAGCCTGGCAGCGAGGTGCTCGCGGCGCTGTCACGGGGGGGCTTTCACTGCCGTCACCTTTAGTTTCCCTTCAGATCCGGGGCTCCGTCACCGGCACAGTGACCCCGGGACCAAGTTCGGTTTGACCTCATTGCTTCGTAAGGCTGTAAGGGAAGGTTACATTTGCTTGTAACTGCCGGAAAAAAAAAGATGTTAAACAAGACTCCCTCCCGTTAAACTCCCATTCTCTGACTCGTCCTCGATGTAAATAGATTCCTTAACACTGAAACCACACACACTTGGCACTGCGCGACTGCCCCTAAAGCACTTGGGAACAGAACAGAATGAAAAATTGTTGTTTCCTGGGCGATTCAGCGCTGTTGCAGATATTCCTGTGCGTGTGAACATTTTATTCATTGACGCGATGTCCGAATATCTCCTGCGTGGCGGTTCTCACACCCGTACAGCCACATTATCTGAGCACTGAGATACGTGTGTCGCATTTAGCGCCGTACCGTAAGACAGCACACAGCAGCGACAGAGGCGATATCTGCAGACGAGAAATTCTTAACATGGACACGGCACACAAAGGCCGCTCCATTCCTCTCCTTGAATGCCCCGCAGAAAGTGAGAGCGGTGCCAGCAGAGCTCTCCTCGCTGTATAGCCGGGGCCGGGGCTGGGGCAGTCCGCGGTAGTCCCTATGGCAGCCGCACCGCGTCCGCGAGGCTCTGAGCTCCGTCGCAGCAGCCCCGCAAGTTCCCGCGCCTCCTACCGCGGTGCGGCTGCCGGGCTCAACCTCTGAAAGGCTTCTGGAGGTTCTGCTCACAGAGCGTGTGCTGCGTGAGCATCCTTCTGCTCCTCACTAGCTACTTCCGAGGTGAGAACGGCCGAGAGCCCGTTCCCCCCGCCGAGAGAGTCTCTGGGCAGCCCCCCAAAGTCTGGTCGTTTCCCCCCCCGGCCCGGCCCGAGGAAAGGCCAGAGGAAGCCCTCAGAGCCAGGATCTGCTCTCGGACCCCCACGCTGGGCTCTAGGAGCACTTCCCACGACCTTGAGGCTCCCACGCGTGGGAGTGGAGCTGCCCACTGGAATCTGAGGTCCCCGCCTTTCCCTTGCTTCGCATTTTGGGGCTCTGGGCGTTACATAGGTGCCACCCCTACTCCATTGGGTGAGCCCCTGCCCCGCCAGGCGTACCCCTCTCCCCCCCGTGCTGTAGCATTCTCGGCCCCACACCCCCCTCTCCGTCCCACTGTTCCCCTTCAATTCTTCAATTATTTCCTACCTGAAAAAAATTAATCTTTTTGCCAGGCGGGTCACAAGCGATCAACAGGCTGTTGTATATTACAATGTTTTCATATTCCTCTCGGCTCCCCCTGCCCTCTACCGACTCACTGTAGATGTGACCTTTGGTATTTCAGCCCACACTCAGCAGTTGAATGGAAACAAGCTGAGCACGTTCACTTCTGATAAACATTATCCTTAAACCACTGGAGACCCGAGCAGAGTAAACGAGCTTTTCCGACAGGACCACATCAGGAACACACATTGAGAAAGGGAAAGAAACCAAATATCCCGGAGATCAGAGGCGGGGTGGAGGGGTGGGAGAGGGAAGGAGGGGAACAGACAGGTTGGAAGACACTCGGGGGGGAGGGGGGATGAAAGAAAAGGACACAGTTGTGAACACAATGGGCACAGATGGGAGAGAAAGAGAGTGAGCGAACGGCGCGGGGTCACATCCGAGCAGAGGGGCGACCCTCGGGGACACCGAGTCCGGGAGCCGGGGGGCCGGGCTGAAACCGAGAGGATGCGTGGAGCTCGGCCTCGGCTTCACGCCATCGGGCCCTGGGAGGGGGGCAGCGGGAGGTAATGGAGCCAGGGCCGGGCGGCAGCGGCGAGAGAGCGGCTGGGACTCCCGGCGGCTGTTCTTCGGGGAGGGCACGCCGCTAATGCAGGTCGGCAGGCTCACGAACACGCACTCCTCTCCTTTGTTTAATTAAGTAATTAATTTAATTAAATTTTGGATCCGTGTCCCGCTAATTCAATGCCTTCTGCCCTAAAACTAGCCGCGGCGGGTCAGGTCACTGCGCCGAGGAGGGCTCTGGCTGTAGCGAATGAAGAACGCGATCGATTTCGGGCGGTTGAATTGGTTGAGTGCGTGTGTCAGTGCGTGGAGACCCCTTCGGCAGAGGTGATGGATCTGGCTTTTGGAAGAGCACCGTTTACTCATGTGGTGTTCCGAAGGTGCCGTGCGTGTTCCTGAAACAAACACAGAACTGCCATAGGAAATGGTTGAGTTGAATACCCGAAGAGTGAACAGAAGGAACAGCGGATATTCCGAACAAACGTAGAGAGGTGCGAAATAACCGCGGTCATCTTTTTTCCTCCACAAAACGTCTGCAACGCACCAGGAATTTCTGGGAGATCCCTGTAGCATCCGCCCTGTTTCCGACCGTGAGATATGCGAAGGCTTTGCAATCTAGCTCGATTTTTTTTTTAATATTTAAAGTCTCTTACAACTATTTCACATAACAAGGAGCGTTCATACACACCAGAGACATCAGATCCGTATTTCACTCGCCGATGTTCCGTGCACTGCCATCACCATATTATTCCTGTTCACGTTTTACTTCCTTTATAGGATCTGGGTCTTGGGAGTCTATGAAAACAAACAAACAAAATCACTCAGAGAAAAAGTGAAAGAAATTACGGTAACTTCTTGGTCGAGGCTGGGAAGCCCGTCATTTGCGACAGACGTTGGATGCGTGAGAGAAGCACATAAAGGGGGACCCGAGCACCCACTGCCAAACCAAACACGCCGTGACCCACGCACGCTTTAATTCCTACCAGCCTTGTCTGTTTTTCTTTTAACTGTTAATACGAAGCAGTATCTTTGATAAAGTCGGAATGGGCTGCAGGACGAGCAGTTCAGCGCAATGTATCGTTTAGCGCGGCGATTAAATCAAAACGCAGGGAGATACCGGGGGCCCGTCTCGTCCCGAGGCTGCATCTGAATTCCCGACAGCTTCGTGGCTTCCACAAAAAATAACGTAACCGCCGCCGTTTGCCACCCTTTCCTGCACCACCCGTGAAATGTTCAGTAGTCAAAAAGTGCTTTACTGTAAAGAGGGCTGGAAACAAAGACCTTCTACTGCCAAATCAGCAGAGCAAAGACAGGAGAGCCGTGTGCGTTTCCAGGCACCGTCCGGTTTCCACCCGGCCGCTCTCTGGGGCGGGGGGGCCCGCGGTGCACCGAGCCCGGCTCCGACGCCCCGCACCGCGGTGCCCAGCACAGCGCCGGCTCCTCTCCATAATTGCGCTAATTGCTCTTTGCGTGCGGCTTACCGCCTGGCAGGTATTACGCGGGCGTTGCTGTTGTGGTAGGGACCAGGTGCTGAGCACGTCCGCGAGAGGCAGCGGAAGGGCCGCCGGTCCCGCGCTGTCCGTCATCTCCCGCGGCCACTGGCGGGGCTGCAGGGCCGCCGGGCCGCCCCCGGGGGCGGGCTCGGGAGCGGGGGGCTGCGGCTCCCGGCCCAGCCCGGCCCTGCCCACGTTGCCCTGAGGTTGAAATGCAGAACTCAAGGCTCTCTCGCCGGGAAGTAGATTTCCTCGTAGTCCTTTTTTCCTCGCCCCCCTGCTATCTCCTCAGCGGCAAGCAGGGAGTCCGGCGGGCGAGTGCGGTTGGGGTAGCAGGAGGTCGGGAGCCGGGGGCTGCGGTGGGGATTTAGAGCGGCCCCGGAGGTGTCCCACTCGGAGGAATGGGTGAGTGCTGGGATCTGCGGGGGGCTGTCAAGAGAGAGGGAGCCCCGTGCCCGTGCCGTCATGTGCCACCGCGGCTCCTTATTGACTTTACTCGTGTTTCTACACGTCGGGACAGCGCGCCGAGGGGCAGAGCGGGGAGGAGGAAAAGTTAATGACTGCTCGGTTTATTATTAATGTTATTATGCGACTGTGAGGCAGGATCGCAGCAGAGTGGATGCCCGCAGCCTGTGGCAAGTTGTATATTATTCCTGACACCGATCGGAGCGGTTAACGTTTTAGCACGTTTGTTTTACAGCCGGCTGTAATCGTGCTGGTAGGCGCGAGCAGCCCCAGAACCGCTCCGTACAACGCGGGGCACGGGCGGTGCTGCAGGAGCAGCGCTGCCACCGCCTCTCCCTGATTTGAAAGAATTTCCTCAACTACTTTTCCTTCCTCCCCCTCCCCCACGTCTCTGAAAATGTTTTTCTTTTCTCTTTTCTTTTCTTTTTCTTTTCTTCGTGTTCCTCTTCCTGTGGCAACAGAGCTGAACTTTCTGTCAGGGCGATCTCATTTTTTCATCTCTGGAATGTGCTTTCTTGGAATATGCTCAGTGCACGGTCCGGAGAAATCCGACATTTGTTGCCACGGTTTTTTTCCGGTGCTTTTCTTCTTCTTCTCGTTTCTTCTTCTTCTTCTTTTTTTTTTTTCCTTTTTTTTTTTTTTTTTCTTTTTTTTCTTCTTTTTTTCCCCTTCTTTTTAATTTCGGTGATATTCCTCTATTTGGGAACACCGTGTCCGGGCAGACCTCGTGCAGTGGCATCGGCTCGCGGATGCCCTCCCCAGTACCGCGCAGTGTCCGACGGCCCTGTGTGTTCTTGCTTGCAGAACCCGCCTTCGGGGAGGTGAACCAGCTCGGGGGGGTTTTCGTCAACGGAAGGCCCCTGCCCAACGCCATCCGGCTACGGATTGTGGAACTGGCACAGCTGGGGATCAGACCGTGCGACATCAGCCGCCAGCTCCGCGTTTCCCACGGCTGTGTCAGCAAAATCCTGGCTCGCTACAACGAGACCGGCTCCATCCTACCGGGGGCTATCGGAGGCAGCAAGCCGCGGGTCACCACCCCCACGGTGGTTAAACATATCCGGACCTACAAACAAAGGGATCCGGGCATCTTCGCCTGGGAGATCCGGGATCGCCTGCTGGCCGACGGCGTGTGCGACAAGTACAACGTGCCGTCGGTCAGCTCCATCAGCCGCATCCTCCGCAACAAGATCGGGAACCTGTCCCAGCAGGGCCACTACGACTCCTACAAGCAGCACCAGCCACCCCCGCAGCCCGCCCTGCCCTACAACCACATCTACTCCTACCCCAGCCCCATCGCTGCCGCGGGAGCAAAGGTGCCCACGCCGCCAGGAGTGCCTGCCATCCCTGGCACCATGGCCATGCCCCGCACCTGGCCCTCGTCCCACTCGGTGACGGACATCCTCGGCATCCGCTCCATCACGGACCAAGGTGAGGAAGGGGCCCGAGGGTCGCGAGCTCCGCGGCGCCCCAACTCGAGCCGAGCACTGAGTTTCCGCGGGACGTGTCCTGTGATTCGGGTACAGCCAATGTCCGGGGGTGCCTGCGGGTGTGATGGCAAACATCGACCGTCCCCGGTGGCACCGGGGCCGAGCTGTATCAAATGCGACCGCAGGGAGCGGCCTGGGCTGCCCTCGGTGCCGTTGCCGGTGCGGCTGGGGCGTTCGTTGCCTCCGTCGGGCCGTAGGCGCCACCTCGGCGTTACCGAGCAGTCCGTTCTCTCTGCTTTTCGCAATCAGGCCAAATGCTCTCAGTCAGGAAGTTCAAATGTCACCTAATTGCCTTAATTCTGATGCTGTATTTTCCTTCGAAGCGGTGGTCCGGGAAAACGAAACCCCGAAGGTTTGCTCCCTGTATCCCTTCCACCTTCTGTCTGTTTCTCCGCCTGGGAACCGCGCCGCATTTCCCGGCCGCTCACTGCGCTTTGCCGCCGAGAAAGGGACATTTTTTCCATGTCGGTTGGTGCCAGGGGGCGGCTGTAGTTCCAGCAACAGTCGGGAAGAACCGCCGCCTCCAGCGCTCCCCGAGTCCCATTCTGCCCTCCCAGTGAGCGGAGGGGAGGAGGGGGGGAGTTTTTGCTCTCATTGCGTTTTTTAACGGCGGCAGTCCGCTTCCAGAAGCACTTCTAATGCGAAGTGATCCTTTATGCATTGCAGATTAATTATCTTATACCGACTTTGAGATAACAGTTTTTTTTTTTTTTTTTTTCCCAAGCAATACATATGCACACAACTCTTTTATTTAGAAGTACGCACGAATAGTGTTTTAGCACTTATTCGCCCTTTGCTTTACGAACTGCTTCTCTCCTCAGCGCTGTCACAAACAGATGTGTCTGAGTCGGCCTTAACAACATCCTCCTGGCAGCGCCGGCTCTGGGCCGGGGGAGGTGATGTTGGCAGTAAGCATTAAAAAAATGCAAACTGTACGATCATACTCGAGTCGGAATTGTGTAGCGAGCCCTCATATTCCTGCCCCCCGCAGGTACAGGCCTCTGCCCGCACGGCCGCCTCTCTCCTCTTCCCGTCTCTCAGCGCGGAGCCGCACGCGTCTTTCCGCGGTGTAACCTTCCCCCGCCTCTCCCTCCTCTCCTTCCCAGCGCCGTGCTGGGGCTGCCGAGCGGCCGCTGCCGCCGATGGGGGCTGTTCGCCCTTGATTTATAGGATAAACTGACCTCGCTGACACGGAAAGGAAGCCCCTATTCATGGGAAAGTGTGAGATCAGCAGAAAAGGGCACTCACCGAGAGGGTTCGATTTCTCAAGCCAGCCCCAGGTTGGTGCCCCTCCAGCGGCCGAAGGGCCGCTCAGAGCCGCTCACAGGACGGGTGCGGCCCCGCACGCTGCTCCGCCGGGGGGGGCCGTGGGCGAACCGTGGCGCCCTGGGACAGCCGCCTGCACAGCGCACGCACAGCCCGGGTGTCCGTGCCACGGCTGCTGCACGAAAAGGATAGAGCACTTTCCCCTTCTTTCCACCCTTTCCGTTTGTTTTTCTTTTATTTTCTTCCTTTTAAGATCTCTTTCTCTCAATCTCTCCCCCCCCCCCCCCCCCCCCCTTTTTTTTTTTTCCTGTTTTTTTTTTTTTGTGTGTGTGTGATTTGTTTACTTTTTCTTAGTTTTGGTCCTAAACGTATTTAGAACCCCTTGCGTTACACGGCTGCACATAGGCAGCGATTCCTGTCAGTCTCTCTGGCAGACTCCAGAGGGGCTAAGCACCGGGTCGAGCCAGCTCCGGGCCTGGTGGCACGATGCTCTTCTAACCGACTGCTCATAAGGATGGGAGGCACAGCCGCCTCCCCCTCCAGGGAGGACGCGGGGGCTCAGCGCAGTGCAGGGGGCGAGGGACGGCTGCCTCTTAGGTCTAACTCTAACCTCTTGCCCACGTGTTTCCCGCAGTGAGCGACACCTCTTCGTACCCCAGCCCCAAGGTGGAGGAGTGGAGCAGCCTAGGCCGGAGCAGCTTCCCCCCTGCAGCCCAGCACGCCGTGAACGGACTGGAGAAGAGCTCCCTGGAACAGGAGGCCAAGTACAGCCAGGTAAAGGGAGAGGGCCGGCCGGGCGGGGGTGTACGTGGGGCCTCCGAGCTTCGCCCTGGGGCTGCGGCCCCTTCCCGGGGCTGAGCTCCCGCTGTCGGCTCGGTGCTTTCCTTCGCTCTGTGCCCCTGATGCTTTCGGCGCGTCCCACTGCCGCCCTGGTGGCCGCGCTGTGGGCTGTGCGCGGCGCTCGGGAGGTAGGGGAAGAATTTGAAAATGAAGTGTATCTGCTTCCTACGCTAAGCGTTTTTAACGCTTAAGTAGACTCCGAACTGTCAATAATTTTATTGCAACACAGTGTAATTGCAACTTAACAAATCTCTGTGTATATCCTTGTGCCTGCTAATCAAATCCTATGCCAGGGGAAAAGCTTTAAAAGAGTCAACTGTTGTTAGCTGGGCAGTGCAGGTTTCGGAAAAAACAGAACCAAACAAAGAAAACCTGACTGTACTTTTTCCATCCAATGGAAAACATTTCAAAACATAAGACCGGCTTCTGAGACCCGTTGCCTTCCCTGTGATTTCTTTGTCACACTTGTGATGAATTCAAAGAATATATTAAAAAAGTTCTCAGTGTGCTGCCCCTCAAGGGCAGAGGTTTGGGACACGTGTCCTGAGTTCTGAGTCTGCTTTTGGACTCTGTGATTGGTTTGGTGCTGAGAGGAGCTGAATCAAACCCTTCTGAGCTGCTGAGTACAAATTGTGCAGCTACTTGTAGTGACCAAGGTAGAATGGGATGCATCATAGTGAGCAACCACTTTGTTACATATTCTGCCTTGCAAAAATGTGATGCCCGTACTGCTATTCTATTTGTTTTGCATTATATTTTTTCTCTTATCGTGTTGTTATTTTGTTCATTGCATATTGTGAAAAATGTGCAGAGTGTTATAGCCATGATTGTGTAAAGATAAAGTCGGACTTAGAGTTAATATTCACCCTTCTACAATTTTATTAGGAAACAACTAATTAGCAATCTTACTAAAAATTATGGGAATATCATCTTCTGCTGAGGCTGGCTGTGCCAGGGCTGCGTTGTCACAGGTGCCAGTCTGGGCCATTCATTCATTCTGCTGAAATAGCCACAGGATGAGGCTCAAGGAGAATACACCTCTGAAATCTCATTTACCCCAATGGGCACTGAGGAACAATGCTATGTACAACGCGTGATTTTCAGTGCTGCTGTTGGAAAATATTTTTATTTCCTTTTTTCATTCTTTCAGCATTTATGCTTTTGTCTTCATAATATATTACTGCTCTATCGTCAATACCAGTTCTATTTTGAAGTTTTGTTCAATCTGAAAGATAATCTGAGAAATGTAATCTAAACATATTCACTATCTAAAAATGGAGAAAATTGCAATTAATAAAATGGAATTCATTGATTAAAAATATATTGTCCAGAGAGTTTAAAAGGACGGAAAATCTAAAAAGTATTTATCCAAAAGGTCACTTTCTGATTTTTGCTCACAAAGAAAGAAGATACAGACGAGATTTCCCCCATTTTTTTTCCCCTCAATAATATGTGCTAATGGGCTTTTCTGCACTACAGACCAGTCTGTTCATGCGGTGTTCAGCTTGTTACCAGCAATTTCATTCATGTGTACATTAGTTGGCTTGCATGTCACCAGTTCAGTACCTTACTAATTCAGGATATGTTTAAAGAAAATTAATGTCAAATAAGGATATAAAAGTGGGTTTTTTTTATATTTTATTTTTTGCAACTTCCTTTTTGTTTATTTATATATATTTTTTGGCTAAATGTACAAATTGAAATTTATGAGCCAAACTCTTGCTGCATGTAGAACTGCCTTAGCTGCAAGCTAGCTGAAGCTCAGGAAGTCTGGGGTGCTGTTCCATGACAATTTGGTCTCAGCAAAATGCATCCTTCGATCTTTACATGGTTGTTGTTGTTGGTTTTTTTTTCTTCTTCGTTTTGTTTTGTTTTGTTTTTTACCGCATGTATTGCTTCAGTTGGAAACAAATGAGCAGAGGACAGGAGAGAACATTGGCTCATTTATGCAGATCCAGCAATCAGGTAGCTGTAGTGGTGAGAAAGGGAGAAACTGCAGAGACAATTTTCTTGCCAGAAGAATTACATTGCAATAGGCTCTCCGTTTGGACCTCAGGGTAAATGGAATTTTCATCTTCTCTGTGCAAAGCTCATTGCAAATGCGGGATCTTGCGAAGGCAGAAAAAGGATGTCCCCTGCAGAAGAGAGGTGGCTGCTCTATAGTGCTTGCTCCAGTGTTATGCCCGTACAAACAAGTCAGTGAAGCACATAACAGGAGCAGAGCAACACAGAACCCAGTGCATGTGTTTCACTGAGGTCTTCCAGTTACATAAAAGGAGCAGAGGGAATGCACTCTGAAGCACATGAACGAAGAAACTTGCAGGACCTATAGCGGATTCTGCTGTTCCTAATATCAGCATTATATTTTAAGCATTGACAGCATTCATGGCACAGATTCACCTGCCTGCAACTTGCAAAGAACTCCATAGCTACTGGGTGGGTGAAGGACTTCTTCCTCCCATCTCAGTCATGGAAGGTAACATTTTACCTCTCAAGAAAGCCCCCGGATATTCTCTCTGCATGAGCAAGACTAGAAGAATTGAGCCTGAAGAACAGACTCGTGCTTTCAAACTATATTGATCTGCCCCCTCTTTCCAGTGGATACCCATTTGTTTTATCATAGGGCTCTGCAGCCTTGTGTTCTTGGGGGGGGGGCTCCCATTCAGCTCAGCCAGGGCTGATCTGAGAGTAATGTGGGTGGTTGCATTTACCCTTTACATACACGTGAGTGTGAATTCAGTCTCAGAGAGGATTGGACGTAAAAGGAAAGAAAACTTCAAATTTTGGCCTCAGCAATACGTAGTCCCACTTGTTTAACATGAAATCGAATGGCTGAATGTAGAACACTTTTCACTGTAAGTGTTATTAATTTCCTGTGTCACTGGGGTCTTTGTGATATTCTTTGGTGTTTGGGCTGGGGAGCTGGAGAACTGCCTGCAGAGCTATCATTCTGCATCAAAACTGCTTAGGGAGTCACAGCAATGCCTTGTGAAGTTTGTACTCACTTCTAATTACCTGATGTCCCAAGTTATTGTCCTTGTGTAAGGACCCACATTATGTTTTTCCACTGCAGTATTTTTGCACATTTCTCTTATCATACAGCTTTGCAAAGAGTGCAATTGTGAATCTGAATGAAAGGGAAAATAGTGTTTTCTGAGAGCTTGACAGTTTCAGGTTGTAAAAGTTTTGTAAGGATCTCAGTTACATACCAGTATTCACACTGAAAGGCACTTTCATTGTGTGCTGGGGGGAAGGCTTCTATGTATAATCATATTACTAACACAAAGGATGAATATCCTGAGTACTTTAATGCATTAAACAGCTTATAGTAATGGCTGCAATAAGGGAAAATAAAGTCTGAAATCATTGGGATACAAATCCAATTGTAGCCTGTTTTTGAAGTAGAATCGTTTAATAAATATTTCTCATATTCCTAATTCAGTTTTCATCCATCTCATGCTTGTGCCTTTCTGGACTAATGTAAGGGATGTGTAAAGTGAACTGCAGCTGATATTTGCACATGTATGAAAATACAGGTCTGACATACGCCTGTCTGATTTGTTGAGATGCAAATAGCTTTGGAAACATATCTTTTTCAGAATTATTTTCTGAAATATGTGTGTATTGCAGGAAGCAGACGTGCATGCTGCCAAAGGGAGCTGATGCTCACTAAAAGGAAAATGTTTGTAACTGGGATCTAAGGGCAAGTGGTTGTTGTGAGTTTACTGGAGAAAAGTGTGAGCTGTTTGGAGGTCTGACTCCAAACCTAGAGGAGCTGCTGAGAACACTCCTAGTTACAAGGGGCTTGTGAATATGAGTTGGGTAGTCTTTCTCTAATATGTTAGGTGGACCCCAAAGTAGCAAACTTTTCACCTTTGTCTCAGCAAAACTTCCTCAGCTCTTCCCGTCTTGACTTCTCAGCTCACTGGGATGACACTCCTTGTTCTGTTCTTTGGCTGCATTCTGATGAGGTAATCCTGACCTCCACGTTGCTTGCAGCATAAAAATGAAGGCTCCATTTTAGGGCAAGTGATTGCAAATAATTGTGGGTGCAATTCTGGGCAATTATTTACACAGAAAATGTAAGCAATGTAAATATTTAAGTTCCTGAATATTGATTGTAGATGAACAGTGAATGTGGTGGCCAAAGCATCTGTAATTGTTTTATCTGCACTGCTTAGAACCCGCAATGTACAGTTACTTCTTTGGGAGTTAGATGCAAACTTAACTTTAAATGACATGACCCTCCTACACAGATTTTTAATTGCAAAATTTCATTAGCAGATTGCTTATTTGGCATCTTATATTCTAAACCAGGATTCAGGGAACTGAACTCCTATTCCGGGTCCATGCAAAATCCATTATGATAAAGGTTCAAACCACCAGCTCCCAACCCATACCTGTTAAAGAGAGGGGCATTTTGGCTTCCTTACCATAGTACCTAACAGAACTGTAAGCAGATTTCCTGTCTGGTACAAGGGCTCAGACCTTGGCTTGGAGACTCTCCAGTTCTGTCTTATCTCCAGACCAGTGCCTGTTATTATAATACAATCACTAAGATGGCTTGCTCGAGGTCTAGGCATCCATGTCAATGCATGTTGTGGGTGAGGGGCATGAGCTGATCCCACTACATGCACCCGATTCCTTCCCAGGTGATCTGGATGGCACCCCATTCGAACCCCATTTGTGAGACCTGCCTCTTACTGGCCACCTGCTTCCACGGCCAAAACCCAGTGCCCTGCCCACCAACCCACATGGCTACAGGGCACTCCACCCGGATGAAACTTATAAAGAAAGTCAGAGAGGTGAGTGAATGGTACAATGATACTCGGACTGCGCACTGAGCATCCTCTGCTCCAAAGGCCCCAAGCAGCCAGGAGCTCTACTGTGACTAAGAGGCTCATGGCCTGGAAGGCAAGAGTGGTGGGAGATGC